GATTTAAAAAACCTCAATTACAGTTTTAATTAAGGATGAAAATTCATTAAGCTCAATTTTGCTTATCATCTAACTAGGTAGATTTGTTAATTCACTCATAATTTTACTCGCTACTATTTCAGTATTTCTAAATTATGATTTTGACATTTATAAGTTGTTTTGCTTTACCCAGAATAAACAAATCTTTTACAGCAGTTTAGGTTTTATTAGCTATTAGATTTAACTATCGGAAGAGTTGGAATTTCGTAAATTTTCACGAGCAATGTCATGAATAATATTCATAGTACTAATAATGGCATTAACTAAATCGTCATTTTCGTCGCTTAATCATTCAAACTATTACTAGCTAATGGTATTTGTAATCTTACGTTATCGCTGTTGAAAATTTCCGTAAGTCCTTAAAGACTTGCTAATCGTCGCATGTCTACCATCTCAAGGCCGGAGTCAGCTATAGACCCAGCGCTGTTTACACGCTGATGCTAATTATTGCTACAAAAGACACTTAACGCATGTGATGGATTGTAGTAAGGCGCTTCGCTATTGAAGTTGACCCGAGATTGAGTCATTACTATCGACATAAGTTCACTGAAAACTGGAATAAATCTTCTTGTTATACCCCGACAGGCGATGACATTGTAAAGAGACAGAGCCAAGCACCGCTCGGTTTCTGCTGTAGCAGAAAAAGCCAGCTGTATATGCTTCCTTAGGATACAAAAAGTTGGAAAAGTTAATAGAGACCCCTAGAAATCTTTGCCGGGATTGTCCAAGACTCCAGTTGGATTTAACAGGCCATGCGCCGAGTATCCTATGACAATATTGTAACCATTAGGGTACATTGCTAATGGGAAAGCAAAGCTAGTAGATACCAAAAGTCCGTGTCCATTACCCATACTGCGGCAATGGTTCTCCAGCATCATTGCAAGTAGAAGCGCATGCTGAGTTTCGGTGGAGTTGAAGTTTGCAAGCAGCTTGTAAGCGAAGTTATGCCTATCCTCGGTATCAGTGACATCACCGGAAGCACGTTCCCCATCGTTCTTTGCAGCACCGGGGCAGGGCTCTGTCGAAACCAAAACAAAACTACTGCTATTCATCTCAGATCATATCGCGCCCGAAGCTGCTCTTTTCTACGCCGCGTCTGAGGCTGATTTTTTGCGTTGCAGCCGATGCTGCTTCATTTCGCGCTCCTATGTGCACTGATCACTATTCATCTGGAGCTTCGTAGTGATCGCATAGCGTCGAAACTTTTTTCTAGCCGTTTTTTCTAATCAGTCTACCGTGTCATGGCGAAGGTTGTCTCCTTCGAGAATGGGAGTCCATATACTAAATAACGAATTTTCGAACGCCGAAGCTGAAATTTCATCCCCATCTTACCGCCAAATGTTCCGTTCAGTGGAAGCCCAGCAAAAAATAAAAAAAAATGTTACGCAGCAATACAACACATTTAATGTACCAGATATACAAGAAAACTTCATTATTTTTAATGACAGAAATAATTTACACGAACATGATCGTAAAGAATCGTATTCACATATTTTAGTTTATGGATGAGACTACGGACTTTTATACTCTCGTATTCTAATTTTTTGTTGTTAAAGTTACCTTAGTTATATTTCAAAAGAAGTAAGATCATAGTGCGTTTATGTTCATTGCCGTAGAATATATAAAAAACTCATTCAACTATAAAAAAATTGATAGTGATGAAGTTCGAACATCAACAATCGAATAAATCTATTTGCCAAAGAACGTAAAGCTTTTGTGTGGTGGCCTGATGCCCACCGACAAATCTTTACTTATCTGTGTCGTCGTTTCACCGATAGCCATTACGGAATTAATGGCAGGAACAACCTCACCCTGACAACCATGCCCTATTATGTTACAGTCAATTGCGCTCAAGGTTTTACATAATTATAATTTGACAGTCATTCCCTGCCAAATTAGCACGCCACATTGGCTAAACTTGATCAACCCGTTTTGCCAAAAAAACGAAACTGATAATTTATCTTACTCTACGACGTCGGCTGTAATTCAATTGTCTTGAATGTCTGTTTTCCGCCTATCTTTCGTGGGTTGCTCTATCAGCTCAGAAATCGCACTTTTATGATTAGTCATTGATTTATATGGAGAATGGTAAGATGAAAAAAGACTATTAAACAACTATTTGTTATAATTTATTAATAGTACGCCATAATTAATATATGAATGACGTTAAACAATACTGTATAAATAATAAAATAGCGAATCGATATTTCGTTGAAATTAATCGAGACGCTAATGAGTTCAGTGGACTGTTAAAAGTGCAATATTTAAAATAAGCGAGATTTGCCAATGTCGCCAATACAACCCGAGCCGTAGCGCACCGCGGTATAATGGTGCATTGAGTAAATAGCCGAGTGCATTGTTCCTTGCGATCGATGCGCATCGGCCCAAAGCTACACATACACTCGCTTGCACACACATATTTATATATGCACCCTGGCTTCGTGCACTCTCCTCTTTCTCACAGTCTTAGTGCGGACGTTCGTATCAAGGCGATCGCGTGAGAAGGACCCACAACATAATAGAGGAGAGAGAGAGAGAGAGAGAGAGAGAGAGAGAGAGAGAGAGAGAGAGAGAACTACAAGCGTTACGTTTGCTTCCTTTAATTCGGCCCTAAGCGCTCGATGTTTATCGACCCATAGATTCCGTGTTTAACGTCTAGTGAGTCGTGACAAACAGACCGAACTAGTAATTTTTGATATTAAAAACTGATTTCAATGACTTTGAATGGACAATATTCTCGATATTGACATTTGATTTAGGTGGGCTTAAAAGAGCTTATTTGTAAAGTTTGATTCAAATTTTACACGTAATCCGTTATTTTCCAGAACTTTCATAAATATTTCTGGCATTACGATGTTGCACATTGATTTAGTTTGGTAATAGAATAATTTTCACCTCGCGTTCAAAGTTCATGTTTGACGGGTTCATTTATATCTGTTTCTTTAATGGTAAGGGTGCAAGTTTATTGGTATCAACTGCAATGCAATAAGCAAGCACGTATGCAGAAGTTTGCGCTACGTGACTGACCGCGTATAGATAGATACCAGTTTGATTGCTTATCACTGAAACTTGGCGCTCGGTAATAGATACGTGGATGTATATACCTATCGATTGGTGAAAACGCTTAACAATTGATATTGAACTCATGGGTGCACATAAGAGAGTCGTACACATAAAAGTTACGTGAGTTTCTTCGAGTTTAATATTTCATGTAAAAGTTTGCGCAGTATGGAATCGATGCCCATGCACGATTGATCAAGCAATAGCAGCGGCGCATTATCTTTACATGGAAAAATTGCTCGATGCTTGGAGCCCCGTCACCTCATTTATTTCTTTTTCTTTTTCTTCTTCTGTCAATGCATACGCCATCGAGCCCCATTAGCCACATAAGGATATTGATAAATGCAATGTGCAAAGGGACAAGTCTAAGGGTTCTTATCTTCTTTTGTAAATTGAAAGCATTTCAGCTGGCGTGTATAGCAGTATGAAGACCGAAGTAATGGAACGGAAGACTATACATCCGTGAAGAATAGGTATAGAAGCCTTATACCTGCTGAAACCGGAAAATAGTTCGTGCGTAACAATAGGCTAGTGACTAGCGAGCAAAATGTGTGTCTGCCAGTGAGAGAGCATCTGACGTCGTTTCAGAGGGAGCTAAAGAAAAGCCATTATAGATCGAATCGACACATTGAGCATGCACGCATTAAATCGGAAAGAACGCACAAAGGACGCTACGGAAGATGAACTGCTTATAACAGTAAGACAGATAAAAACTGTATACTCGTAACGTTCGATTTATAGAGATGTTTCCATAGTAAAAAACGCGTTGCGCCATACTTACAATTACACCAGAAAATAAGAGAACCGGAAATCACTTAACGTAGATTCCGCACTTGAACGAGTTCTACATTCGTCGATTTCTGAAGGTATCCACGGAGGGGGCGTATTTGGAAGAGATTCAATAAAAGGATCTGAAGAGGTATTAGAAGTTGTTACGGGGAACAGCGCGGAAGTAACGATCGAATTCCTTTATCGAATAATTTGGTGCGCGTTGAATAAAGCCGATGGCTGTTTTTCCAAACAGCCAATTTTCGGTTCGACAAAATATTCCCACTCCTCAAACACGAATTGAAGCTTTAAAAGACCGTAGAATGCAAATTATTTGCTCGTTCTCAGTCCGCTTTTCCATAACTGCATTCTCCGCTTTCACGGTTATGGCTTCGCTAAGGTATTATTCGGAGCTCTGTACCAATTGAAAAAGTTAATGTTTCGTCCACCCAACAAATTTTACAAGCAAGGTTGAAAACTATTTGTATAAAGATAGTAAAAGCCAAAATAAGCATTGTTCATTAGCTTTTCAGTATCTATACGAGTCGATGATGAAATCGAAGATAATATCTTGTCAAAACCAATGAGGAAGGGTAGCTGAAATCCTGTTAACCTAATTAATTGGCAAATATCCTGATCAGCAGCACCGCTCCTTACGATCATGAAAGAGACGAAGTAAATTACGATTTAGCAAAAGTGCGAACACATCGTGAATAATACACGGAAAAGCGAGGCAGCGCGCACGCAACGCCGGTCTTTGGCTGTAAAACTTGTCGCAACAGCTAGCGACAATATCTCGCAAACGAACTCCAGCGCGAGAGAGCACGCTAGTTAACTAGAACAAAGAGAGAGGGGGGAGGAGGGCTAGGAGGAGGGGCGAGGACACGGAAAGACACACAGGGACAGCGCGGCAGCAGCAGAGCAGTGCGAAATGGGTTCGATATAGGCGCGTAAAGGCAGCGAAGGGAGGCACGAAACGAAACGAAATGAAACGGGAAGGTGAGAGGGGTCGCGGCGCGGCGCGGGCGGTAGGGGCTGGAGCGACGGTGCGCTGGCGGCGGCGTTGTCGGCGTCGTGGTAGCGAGCGACGGTGGCGACGGTGAGCGCGCAGTCAGTCGTAGCGCTACCGCCGTTCGGCTCGGGTTCGCCGCCGCCGTCGCCGCCTTGTCGAATCGCGCGCGCCTGCTTGCGCTATCCTCGGTGCACTTGTCTCATTTCTATAAGGACTAAGAAAACGGTGGCGGCTGACCGCACGTGCGACTCCTCCACTGGCACGACAGCAGCAGCCACCGCCGTCGCCGCCGCCGTCGCCGCTGCGTCGCCGGCTAAGCACGCATGGCCGCGCGCACGAATAAACAACAGGCGTTACTGACGAACGGTCAGAGGGAGCACAGGGGACCAATTTCTTTTCCTAGAACCACTTTTCCAAGCTAATAAAGCCACTCGACCTCCGTTGACCCAAGACATTAATTATTGAGCGAAAGCCTTGTAAATAACAACAATCGGAACACCTCGCAGTGCCAACATATCAGTGCAGAGATAAAAACAGCAGCGACTCCTTCAGTCGATCTGCCGCTGCAGTGCGGAAGACGAACGCTTTCGGCTCTTGTTGCTGCTTCGCGTCACGCTCGAGACAGCGTAAACATCAAGGCAGCAGCACGCACGTGCTTCTATCTGCTGTTTCCTCGGGTCTCGAACTTCCGGAAAGTCCCTCGCTAGCGTCGATTTATCGTAGAGGCGACATAGGCAGACGAAATGGATATGGCCAACTGAGAGCGCGCGGCGGCTATTAATAAGTCGTCGTCGTCGTCGTCGTCGTCGTCGTCAATGCGCTCACAGCAGCGAGTCCAGCAGTGAATTCCGACGGCTGCTCGTTGGCCCACTCGGTGACTGCTGCCAAAAATCGACAACGTGGATACAAAACAAAACGTGCGCAATAAAGAAGCCACACTTTTATCTCATTTTGGCGGCGACGACGATGTAAACACGCGCGCGGCCGACACTCACGTGCGACCGAGAGGAACGATCTGTCGCCGCGTTGCGCTACGATGTGGCGTAGCATCTGTGCGAATCGTTGAAAATAGACTCGAAGCCGAAGAGAGGGAAAGACTCGATTCGTTGCCAAGTGACACAGCCAAACAAGTGAGTGAGCGAGGCACGTCTCCCTTCGGTAAGGGATCGCCGTGAGAATTCGCGCGATGCACGGCGGTATTTTCGCGCGCTTGGTCGCGCAACGGCCACTCGCGAGTGATTGAGTGTTCGACGGCGGGCTCCAGATTCGCGAATTTTCGAGGCTGTCGATCCGGGACCAAGGACAAGCGCGATGAGCCAAAAAGGTGCCTGATAAGAAGCTCAATCGCGGGCCACGATAGAACACGACGAGGAGAGGGACGAAGCAGCCGCAGGGGGAAGGACCGAAGGTGAGGATGTAGATGCGGCGATGTCTAGGCAAACCAAGGACCCGGTGCACAAGTGCCACTCGGATCCGGGCCAGCAACAGCAACAGCAGTCGCACTGCACAGGCGGTAGTAGCGTGGGTATCGTGCAAAAGCGAGTCCTGGCACGAGCTGGTCTTGCCGGCGCGAGGCACGTGCCTCTCGTGTCGGCGACGCCTCCAGCTCGCAAGTGCGTCCTCACTCTCGACGGATACAACTACGTTATCGGTAAGCTCCGCGTACGTACATGCATACATGCAAAGCTATCCACTGTATATTTCTAAGGGATTAGACTCTCGTCTTATCGCCCTCGCCTCTCTCTCACTGCTTCCTATACTCGAATGCGCGCATATCCTGTGTACAGCAGCAGCAGCAGCAGCAGCAGCGACGGCTGCTTATAGCTTTTCATATGGAAATTCTGTCGAGCCAATGTGTATTCGCTCTTGACAGCACTCGTTAACTATTGAAATTTCTTCTTATTTCCATGACGAATAAGTACCTAGTGTACTGGACGAAACAGCGAACACCGATGAGTATTCAAAATTCTTTTGAATAAAATTACTGTTCAATAACATCAAATGAAAGATTACATATTCCTTCGTCAACAATGGCTCGTGTTATGCAATCTCATGATCATAAAATGCCTAAGGACAGCAATTACTTTACATCCTGATGATAGTTGCAAGATTGAGACTCGAAAAATAAGAGAAGCACTTTAATTGAAATGGTGACAGGTGCGTTGGCGTAAGTTATAACGCTGCCCACAATGAGATAAGTAGATGTGCTGCTCAAGGTATCAAGCTTGAGATTATTGGTCTTTTATTTATACCGCGCCATAGAAAAGGCCATGATTAGGATAGGAGCAGAAATAAAATAAATCTTAAGAAAGTAGCAGATGCCTTCATTAAGATAAGGCAGTAAAGCGCAGATAAAACTTAGCGATCACCTAGCAAATGGTCTGGCATAAAAAGTATTTCTGTTATCAATTTGACGGCAGCGTAATATTTGAATCGGGCGCTAGATTAGTACTGTTTCACATGCACGGGGATGCGACTCGTGTATTAGCGATAGCGTGTCTCAGCACGAAGTAGTACGTTAAATGCGATGCACAGAAGATTACCGCACACGAAAAGCCTTTCTGTGCGCGGTATAGCAGTGCTCCTGTTTATGATCGCGAATGCAGCCCTGTGCGCACAGACTGCATACGAAATTATTCCAGCGGCGGCAGTGCGCGCGCGTGCGAATGATCTGTTTTTGATGCAGTACGCGCGTACTGATGATCGCCCGATGAAAAATTGCCATCGCGCGAGGAGGAAGTCTATGCTTTTCGAACGCTTTTCCAATGCGACTCGTCCGAAGAATTAAAGAAACATCGCTTGCGATATTTCAAATTGATAGTACAGTTAATCTTTTGGAATACTGAATAATCTATTGTGCAGTATATAAATCTTTGACAAGCGTGCAGCGAGCTGATCCTGTTGTATACTTCGGTGTATTCTTGAATATTCTATTACCTCGTTGTGTGTGCATACGTCTTTTATACTCTCCTACCTACGTTCCTCGTGTGTATCTTTACGTAACATTGTTACTTGCTGCCACTTGTACATCGTTAAACTTATTGCTTTCGCAATTTATTACGAAAAAAATTCTTTCAGACGTTTCGCTCGGAGAAGTAACGAAGCAACTATCGCCAAATTATCTTGAAAACCAAGCGACTCTCACGTGACTGTACTCTATAGAGAGAGCCGAATGCTCGATATACAGCTACGTTACATTGTTTACGGATTTATTTATGCAAATGAAGTTGCTGAAAAAAAACGCTCATTTCGTAAGTATGAGATATAGCTGCCTTGCCTGTAGTATAGTGCCAGCCTCGCTATACCGTTGGCAGATCGTGAAAGACGTAGGACAAAAAGACACATAATCAATCGATTAATACCTGTGGCGCGAGGATAAGGCAAGAAAGGCTGACGCGAGTGAGAGCAGGAAAGATGAAAAAAAAGTAGCAGCTCGATGACTTCGGGCGACACGTATCCCGATTAGGCCGATCTTATTATCGCATGTCGCTTGCACGGCAGGAGTGCGAAAACGTGTGCACACGCGAAACGACGACGCAAAGCTGTATACACCACACACACACACACACGCGCACGCACGCATATATATATATATATATATATCAAAGACTCGGTAGTCATATGTAGGCTTCGCGTGCCAATTTGGCGCCGCTAAACGGATTAGATTTTTGCTTGCCGCCGAGCAGCCTGCAGCGATCATTAGTTGAGCTCAATAATTCAAGATAAACATGTGGGCTGCTCAAGCGTTTATTGACCTTGTCTTCGAGGCATACCAAGCTATTAGACGTGCGTCAAACCAACATTACGTTCAATGGCTCTGTAGATACTTCTCAGATTCTTCAGTTTCTCTTCTTTTTTCAATTGACTGTCTAGCAGTTTATAAGTCTACTCGAAAATACTTGTCACCGTTGTCACCGTGATCAATAAACCCTCCTATTGTATTATTAACGCACACGTCATAGATTCAGAGCTACAGCTATTGCGTGTAATCCTTATTGTATTGCTCGGAAAAGCAAGTGACGTACGGTGTCTTCTTCTTTGGACGCGTTTTCGTTGCTTCATATTCGTGCTAGTCTAAATTAACTATTTCTTGCGTTTTGTACACAAGTATCTCGTTGTGAAATTCAAATCATAGGTGTGAAAATCACGTTATCAGCGTTATCAACGTTGAATCAAATCTATTGGAAATAAGCTCGGCAAATGCCCATCTTCTCAGATAATAGAAGCTATCTTATTAACGATCGAGAGAATTGCCTACGAACGGACAACTTTAACGTGAAATTAGGAAGGATAACACGTTTACTCAATTCGCTCCAACTCCTCACGGCCAAGCGCCAATCTCTATCAACAATTTACTGATCAGATCTTTCTTGTTACTTTTTTTAGTTCCACAGTTGAGTAACTGCTCCAACTTCAGAAACTCAATATTGAATTTGATCTTACTAGTTTCTTTGATTTCTAACGGTAAAAAGTCGATGAAAACCATTGTTTTCACCGTTGCTCGGGTTACTGCCGGTCTTTGCATTGTTCTGCGTGGGAATTGAGATTCATAACGAATATTCTTATAAACAGGCACATTAAGCAGTAAGCATAAAGAAGTATGATCTGCGGCTAAAAGAAATTTGTCCGAGAACAAATCATAATGCACATCTGTAAGTTCAAAGTTATCTTTTTTAATAAGTGCTTTTTATCTCTTTTTTTTTATTTTCTCCGTATACGTGCACTTTAATGATACAGTTACTCCGGCTTTATAACACATGAGCGAAATCAAGTACACGTAACGTCTGCCGCAGGCAAAACAATATGTAATTCGTAGCTCGTGCATGATCACGCGCAGGCGTAATATCAAGTTCGCATGTTATTTGTGAATTTCCGATGTTACTGTCTGCACTAACATATATTAAAATAGAATGTGATAAGTAAAATTTTTTCAATAAAAAATGACAAATTACTAAACGAAATGAAAACAAAGTAAAAAAGTAACGAATGCCAAGTTTACAAATTGTTCTCAGAGTAAAATAACTTGTCAATAAAGTTATAACTGACGGATTTTATGCAATCAGAAGAGTACGGCGAGAGTATCAGCTCTTTTTTCTTAAACACTTGTATCAGTCGGTGAACGAAATATGACGTTTAATTTAAAATATATATGTCTTGAAATAGTAAGGCAATAAAGTTATCAAAGATACTTTGTCTGTTTGCGTAACCAATTAACTGAAAGACAGCACACGATGCAATAACAATAGTAATAGGATACTAGGGACAAACGGCAGCAGAATCAATTAAAACTCGAGCGAAGGCCAAAGACGAGGCGTGAAAAGGAGATAGGGAGAGGGAGAGAGATAAAGAAAGAATAACGACCTGACGTTGGCAATTGTAGGGTGCAATTGCTTGGTTTCTTGCTCGATTGAGTGTGCTTGTCGGTGTGCGCGCTCGTCGCGTTCCGCTTGCTCCCTTGGTGCTTTTTTCATTTGCGCTCAAGAAAAATACGCGCGTCCGCTGCAGTCAATCGATTTCCAGAGCGCTAAAGCGTCGCGCCAAAGGCGCAAAAATTGGAAACAGCTAAAGTCCGTTCGAGCGGCGGCTTGTTTCTTACGGACGTTCTCTCTCTCTCTCTCTCTTTCTCAATTTTCTCTCGCATACTTTTACAGTAGCCTAGTACACGTTACCTATAACAAAGACTATCAAAGCTTTCTTGAGAGAGCGACACTCAAAGCGTGAGAGTGAACGTCAATTGCAGGCAAACTACGTTCCAAAAACGCGCCAAGAACGCGCTCACGTATGACTCAAATGAGAAAGCACCTATATGACTTTCCTTTATCGCGGTCCAACGCACATGTCGCTTCGCATAATCGATATACGTTCTTTCTTTTTCCAACCAAGAGAGCCTATAATCTCATTTGGGGACGACGCCAACCAGTTTTTTCCATTTTCTGCGCGTCTTTTATGTGTTCGGCTTTAAAGTATCTACTGAACAAGAAGTTGTATATAGGACATGCTTGAGTAATGATTCTACATAATACACTTCTTTGTTTTTTTCATGTAGAACAGGGGACAACCGAAAGGTTTTCTCCAAGGCTGTAAAATCCACCAAATCTTTCGTTCATCAGTCCTTGACAGGTATTAATATGCTTATGATGATTTCAAGACTTTCTTTATTTTCTATAACAAACGGAGTGAAAGTATATTTTTATTAATAGTAGTAGAGTAAGGCTAGCACAAGTCATGAGTATTCGTGAATATTTACTCGGAAAAAAGAAATTTTCAAGTTTAAGAATTTGATGGGTCTAATCGAACGGTTCAATTTCACTATGTTGATACAGCTGGAGCACTTGATTATAGCATTTGATTGAATTTATTTATCCCGAGCTATTTATTCGCTTGAAGCGACATTTTTATGCCACTTTATAACGTTTCCAGGATATAGCGGTGGTCAGACTTCAATACAAGTTACTCTCACTGTTCCGCAATAATTGACGACGCTTTCAAATAATACATCGCAGGAATTGGTCGCATTAGTATTTTTCGCGTGAGAAAGCAAAATCATTTGAGGCACTCGTCCATAGTCTCGCGAACGCGATTAGTATTATTATCTGCGTTATTAGCCAATACTTATTGGCCGAATTCGGACATTAATTCGTGGCAGTAAAT